CAGCAGGTCAAGGCTGCGGTGGCCATGAGCATGCCACTGCACTCCAGCCTGGGTGACAGAATGAGACTCCGACTCAAAAAAAAAGAAAATGGCATTAAAACAAAATTTTCCCAAAGGTGAAAGTAGCCTCAATTTCTACTTTTGTTATCATAGTCCCTACATGCACCTTGGCTACAAGCAACTCATCACTACCATGCCCTCAGTCTCAAAGGGGATGAGGCAAGCCAGTAGGTAGAGGAGAACATGACCATAAAAAGAACGAAGTGAGTAGCTGAAGATTTGGGAAACACCTCCAGGGTGTTTATGATTGGTGCCGCAGAGCAAAGCAGGCCCTACACCTTTATGATCACCTGATAACTGTAACCAGAACAGGAGGTTATCATGCAGCCCAGATGCCCAAATAAAGATAAATCTAGCCGGGTTCGGTGGCTCAGCCTGTAATCCCGTGCCTTTGGGAGGCTGAGGTGAGGGGATTGCCTGAGCCCGCGGGTTCGAGACCCGCCTGGGCAGCGAGACTTCATCTCTACAATAAATCAAAAAATCAGCCGGGCGTGGTAGCGTGTGCCTGTAATTCCAGCTACTTGGAAGGCTGAGACGGAAGGATCGCCGGAGCCCAGCAGGTCGAGGCTGCGGTGGCCGGGAGCGGCCACTGCACTCCAGTCTGGGCGACAGAGTGAGACTCCAACTCAAAAAAAAAAAAAAAAAAAAAGATAAATCTATGGCCCTCGGGACCCTCATCCCTCCCAACCACCTCCCCAAAGGCAAAGGAGATAAAAGTCTGTCATCAAGACCCCCTGAAGCAGTTCTTATTCTGAGACTGTCCACACTCCCCTCTATTATAGTGTATACTTTCCTTCCTCCAGGTGGCTCTCTTCTTGAGACTGTCAACCCCCACTCCCCTTCCCTTTAAACATGTATGTCCTTTCTTTCTCTTTTCTTTTTCCTTCCTTCCTTCTTCCTTTCTTTTTCTTTCCCTCTTTCCCTTTTTTACTTCCTTCCTTTCTTTCTTCCTGGACTACAGATGTGCACCCATCATGCCTGGCTAATTTTTTGATTTATTGTACAGGTGAGGACTTAACAAGTTACCCAGACTGGTCTTGAACCCCTGGGCTCAGGCAATTCTCTTGGCTTGTCCTCTCAAAGAGTTGGGATAACAGGTGTGAGCCACCAAGCACATCTTAAGCATGCATTTTCATCTTAATAAACTCTTTACTTATTTACCAATCTGGTGACTTTCTCTGTTTTTTTGTTTTTGAGTCGGAGTCTCACTCTGTTGCCCAGGTTGGAGTGCAATGGCACGGTCATAGCCACCGCAGCCTTGACCTCCTGGGCTCAGGCAATCCTTCTGCCTCAGGCTTCCAAGTAGCTGGAACTACAGGCATGCACCACCACACCCAGCTAATTTTTTTGATTGATTGCAGAGATGACATTTTACCAAGTTGCCTAGGCTGGTCTCGAACCCGTAGGCTCAAGCAATCCTCTCACCTCAGCCTCCCAAAGTGCTAGGATTACAGGTGTGAGCTACTACACAGGAATTCTTTCCTGTGACGAAGTCAAGAACCCACACAAGAGTTGAAGTCTCTTTTCTTTTTCTCTGCATTAAATTGAACTTCTCTCTGACAACAGAGAGAGGTATACAGGTTGCTTAGTCTTTATATATATATATTTTTTTTTTCAAAAAATAAAATGACCTTCTTATTTCTTTGAGAAAATGTAAAATATCAGAACATCAAAAAGACAACTAGGGCTGGGCACAGTGGCTCCTGCCTGTAATGCTAGCACTTTAGGAGGCTGAGACAAGAGGATTGCTTGAGCTTAGGAGTTCAAGACCAGGTCGAGCAATACCTTGTCTCTACAAAAAAATTAAAAAATTCGCTAGGCATGATGGCATGTGCCTGTAGGCTACAGTGAGCCTGATTGTGCCACTATACTCCAGCCTGAACAACAGAGTGAGACTTCAACTAAAAAAAAGGCAGCTGGTAGTCAATGTAATGGGATATCACTGAGAAAACTACCCCTTTTATTTTCAGAGTGAATTATCATCAAGTATTGCAAAGGGAACAAAAAAATAGGAAAATCATCAACTTTACTCAAGACTCCGTTTCTATTTATTTCTGGGCAAAGTATCTGTTAAATAGAGTTTCATCCTTACTTAACAGTCACCAACAAAGAAAAATATAGTTGTATATTTACAAGTACATTAGAATTCACAAGTCATTATTTCATACCAAGGAGTCAACAGAATTTCACAAGATAATGCTTTTAATGAAGGTGCAAAGACTACTTAGTCAATAAATAACTAACCTTAAAAACAGAAGTGGAATCAAAGGACACTATCAAGAAAGTGAAAACCACCCACATAATAGGAAAAAAGATTTGCAAATCATGGAGCTAATACATGCCTAGTCAACAATAACAACGATAAAATACAGTTTCATATCTTGCTTTTTCACTTAATATTATGGCAGTAATATTTTACTACGTTATAAAACATTTTTTCATAACACCTTTAATGGTGACAATGAGTTTTTATCCTTAAAAAGTATATGAAGAAGGGCTATCACTACCAAATCATACAGAAATAAAAACACTTATAAGGGAATACTATGAATAACTGTATGCCAACAAATTAAAAACTCTAGATGCGTGACAAATTCTAAGAAAGACACTAACTTCTAAAACTGACTCAAGAAGAAAAACTGATTAGATCTATAGCACATAAAGAGATTGAAAACCTCCCACCCTCCAAAAAAAAAAAAAAAAAAACCCAAATGAAAGGGTTTTACTCACAAATGCTACCAAATGTTTAAAAAAGAATACCAATTTTTCATAAACTCTTCAAAAAAACTGAAGAGAAACATTTTCAAACTAATTCTGTGAGGCCAATATTAGTATGAAACCAAAAAGAGAAATTGTAGAATGATATCCCCATAAGAATATTGACGCAAAACCCTGAACAAAATACTGATAAACTGAATGTAGGAACATATAACAAAGATTATACACCATGGCCAAGTGATATTTATCACAAGAATATAAAATCAATTTAACATTCAAAAGTCAATTAATAAAATGTATTATTAGAATAATGGGCAAAACTCACATGATCATCTCAATAGAAGCAGAAAAGGCATTTGAGAAAATCCAATACCTTTTCATTATAAAAACACAAAACAGGCTGGGAGTGGTGGCTCATGCCTGTAATCCCAGCATTTTGGGAGGCCAAGGTGAGAGGACTGCCTGAGCCCAGGGGTTTGATACCAGCCTGGGAAACTTGGCGAGACCTCATCTCCACAATAAATAAAAAACTTAGTTGGGTGTGCTGGCACATGCCTGTAGTTCCAGCTACTTGGAAGGCTGAGGTGGAAGGATCACCTGGGCCCAGTAGGTCAAGGCTGCAGTGGCTGTGACCATGCCATGGCACTCCAGCCTGGGCGAGAGTGAGACTCCAACCCAAAAACAAAACAAAAACATAACAAATTTAGAATAGAAAGGAACTTCTTCAACTCAATAAAGGGAATCTACAAAAAAAGTCACAGCTAGCATCATACCTAAGGGTAAAGGATTGAATGCTTTTTCCATTAGACCAAAAACAATGTTCAAGTGGAGAGAAAAGAAGCCAAAATAAAGAAATGAATTGTGAACTTACAGGACAATTGTGAAATAAGCATCAATCCTACTTAAAAAAAGGGCTATCTTGAAGATATCTTTTGAAGATAAATTTTGACTCCAGGTTTAGAGGAATCTGACCTTGATGGACAGTAGAAGAAATCATGACATGTGAAATTCTTTGAATAAGAATTAATTTCTTAGCCGGACTCGGTGGCTCAGCCTGTAATCCCGCACCTTTGGGAGGCTGAGGTGGGTGCATTGCCTGAGCCCGCGGGTTCGAGACCCACCTGGGCAACTTGGCAAGACCTCATCTCTACAATAAATCAAAAATTAGCCGGGCACGGTAGCGCGCGCCTGTAGTTCCAGCTACTTGGAAAGCTGAGGCAGAAGGATCACCGGAGCCCAGCAGATCAAGGCTGTGGTAGCCGGGAAAGTGCCACTGCACTCCAGTCTGGGCGACGGAGTGAGACTCCAGCTAAAAAAAAAAGAATTAATTGCTTAAAAAATATTTTTTTAAGCCGGGCTTGGTGGATCAGCCTGTAATCCCACGCCTTTCAGAGGCTGAGGTGAGTGGATTGCCTGCGCCCGCGGGTTCAAGACCCGCCTGGGCAACTTGGCAAGACCTCATCCCTACAATAAATCAAAAAAATTAGCTGGGCGTGGTAGCGCGCACCTGTAGTTCCAGCTACT